TTGGCCTGGTTAACCGAAATCTCGTTCTGGTTGACAAGGTGCCCAAGGAACTGCACCTCGCAACCAGAACTCACACTTGGAGAACTTAGCATAAAAGCTCTCCCTTCTCAAGGTATCCAGAACCTCCCGCAAGTGCTCCTCATGCTGCTCTCGCGTATTGGAATAAACCAAGATGTCATTGATGAAAACTATCACAGACCGATCCAACATCGGTCTGCACACGCGGTTCATGAGATCCTGAGTGCAAATCACTCTTAGAGAAACAAGATGCTCCCTGTAGCTGGTCAAAGAGGTCATCAATCCTCGGGAGTGGGTAACGGTTCTTCACCATTACCTTATTCAGCTCCCGATAATCAATACACATCCGATGCGACCCGTCCATCTTCTTGACAAACAGAATCGGGGCTCCACAGGGTGAACTGCTCGGTCTAAATTAATCCCTTGTCTAACAGCTCTTGCAGCTGTGTAGACAACTCCTGCATCTCAGGAGGAGCCAACCGATACGGTTCCTTGGCTATCAGAGTCGCACCAGGGACTAGGTCGATCCTGAACTCTACTCGTCTCTCCAGAGGTATCCCAGGGAACTCCTCAGGGAATACAGCCATAAACTCTCATACTACGGGCACATCGCCCACCGTCGCCTTACCCGCCTCCCGGGTGTCCATAACATAGGCGACAAATCCTGCGCAACCCTGCTGAAGGTAGCGCCTAGCTCTCGCTGCTGAACATAAGGCTGGTCCTCGTTGTGGCCTCTCGCCCGGAATCACCAGCTCTCCCCCACTTGGGGTCCTGATCCGCACTAACTGCTGCGCGCAGTCAATCACTGCCCCATTGGGGCTTAGTCAATCCATACCAACAATAACCTTGTTCCCCCGTAAGGGTATGGGGACCAAGTCTACCAGGTAACGCTCCTCGAATAGCCTCAAAACAAAATCCCAGTAGACCTCTAATGCTCGCACTGACCGGTCGTCCGCAATCTCGACCTCTAGAGGGAAATCCAACATGCCCGAAGACTCAGGAAACTTCTTGCTAAACGCAAGAGAGACAAACGATCGGGTAGCACCCAAATCAACAATACCTGAACTGGGATAACGTTCACATGGAACGATCCTAAACCGAGCACATACATATAACATATCAGGATCGCAGCGACATAACATAAGGAATAAAGTGAAGAAATCATACCCGTCACCACATCGGGTGCGGCGCGTGCCTCCTCGGCTGTCAACTAAAATGCTCGATTCCGCACCACTGGAGCCTCTGCCTTGACCTTCCGGCCATCCACAACTCGCGTTGTCGTTGGAGTCGGCGCTGCCGCTGGTGCTGCTGCTGTCGCTACTGTCAATCTTGGGCAATTGGCCTTCTTATGGCCCCTCTGATTGCAATGAAAGCAAATCAGGTCTGACATCTACACTGTGGGAGCAGGGGCAGTACAATCCCTTCCAAAATGCCCAGTCTTGCCGCACTTATAGCAGTCGGAACCCGACCCAGTGAGACAAACTCCCTCAGGTGACCGACCACACTTCCCACAGCGGTCCCGGCCCTGCTGGCCCTTCGACCTCGTGTCGAATCCGTTGGGCTTCTTCCCCGAAACCCCTGTAACCTACACAGTCTCTAACTTCCTCTTCTTGAGGTGCTCCAAGTCAATCTCCCTCTCCCGCGCCCTGGCAATCATGGACTCCAAGGTCGGACAAGCCGAATAGCTGACATGCTCCCGAATGTCGGCTCTCAACATATCATGATAGCGGGTCTTCCGCATCTCCTCATCCCCTTCATACTGGGGTACCAACAAATCCCTCTCCCAGAACATGGCGGTGATCTCTGCCACAGTCTCCGTAGTCTGTCTCATATCGAAAAACTCCCTGGCCAGCTGCTGAAGCTCCACAGCTGGCGCGAACTCAGCTCTGAATCTGGTCACGAAATTTGACCAAGTCATAGCCTCGATGGCTGGGGCTCCCAAAGAGTCACCAACCGACTCCCACCAATCTCTAGCTCTATCCCTCAAGCATCCCACATCAAAGCGGGCCTTCGACCGTTCCGGGCAGAAGCTCGTCAACTGCGCAGACTCAATGTCTGCGATCCATCTCCTGACAGCAATGGGGTCCTTCGCTCCGTGGAAGTCCGACGTACCACTCCCCACGAAGTCCTTGAAGGACAGTGTGCGCGTACCCGTCTGGCTAGTCGCCAGATCAGTCCTGAATGCCCGAAGGTGATCCTCCATCAGCTCAACGATCCCTTCCTTGATCGACCCGAAAATGACCAAGGTCGCATCAAGGATACCTCTCATGATCTCAGATGCGATAAACTCGCATAGGCCGTCATTAACCTGCTCGGATCCTGCACCCGAGCCTGATCCTGATCCTGGCCCAGATCCGGAATCTCCTGCTCCTAGATCCTTAACCCTAATCTAGCATGCAGTTCTCAGAATCACATATCATATAACATAACGTTGCAAGTATGGGTATCTTCGGGAAAAATTACTTGAGCTCGGCCGGTGGCACGCATCACACACCTTGTTCTTTTTCAACATTCTTTGTTCATAAATTTCAGAAAACGGCTTTCTTTGTGAAAAATCTTTTAGTCCCTCGGTTTGAGTCTAGACACCCGAGGGTGTGTCCAAATCCCTCAAACCAGGGCTCTGATACCGACTTGTAGCATCCCAATATTCAAGGCCAAAAATTTCATTTTGAAATTAAGTACTTCATAAAATAGTATACCAAAACATTGTCGAGGTTACATCAAATTATAAACCATAACGTCATGTCTCAAAATCACAATATCAAAAGTAATGAAAATCAGAGTACAATCCCAGAAACTCCATACGGAAATCAAGTGTGTGTGTGATGCGCTGCTGCACTGTCGGCTCCTTCCCCTTGGACGAAGAGGTACCTGAAACCAAAACTGAAACTGTAATCACAAAGCTTAGTAAGTTCCGCCATCATACCACATACCATATAATATCATCGGTATCTTTCAACCGGTAACTGCCATCGGTATCTTACAACCGGTATCTGCCATCGGTATCTTTCAACCGGTAACCTCCATCGGTATCTTTCAACCGGTATCTGCCATCGGTATCTTTAAACCGGTAACCGGGGACTATTTCACCCCTAACGCTATCTTGCAATAACAAGATATAATCATACAGTTAGGCATATCTGGGTACTGACCTACCCTTCGATCCTAACGACCGATGTTAGGGAAAACTATTCCTTGCCACTATCACTACCACTAACACACATAGCATATCATGCAAGCATACCGTATCACATAAACATACCAAGATAATTATCACAAAGATAATTATCTACTAAATACCTCTATTGGTGGGTCGGCATTGTGGCCTTAGACCCATCCCTACTGGAAGGTAACTCACCTCGATGTCGTGTAGTGTCTGAAATGTCCTCGGCGTGAAGCTCGACTCCCCTCGACTCCCCAATCCCTACATGACAATCCTTCTAAGTTATCAATATGAACAAGCAACCCAACCCAGGGTCAACTCAATTTAATCAAAGTCAATCATTGGTCAAAGTCAACACCCAGTTGACCTGACTCGCTGAGTTGGTCTACCAACTCGTCGAGTTTGTACTCCACTAACCCGATCCAACCCCGGCTCTACTCGTCGAGTCTAGAAAGAACTCGACAGGTTCTCCTTCATTCAATCCATCAGGACCATCTTCATCCGACTCGTCGATTTCATCCTTGAACTCGTCGAGTTCATCTCCCTCATAAGAATGTGTCCAGTCTATGACTCGCCGAGTTGTATGAACAACTCTTTGAGTCCATCTTCAAATATTGGGAGATTGCCTTGGACTCGCCGAGCCTGCTCTAAGCACTCGTCGAGTCCCAAGACTCCCAGACCCCTAATGGGTCTAAACAACTGAGGGGCATTCCACCCTTGCATCTGGTCCAATCAACAGAAAGGATTTGGCGACAATGCACCCCGACTCGCCGAGTCCCAAGAACGACTCGTCGAGTCCATCCTTGTCTATTACTATACAGTCGATTTAAATGGGTCTTAACACATTAAAACCATATATTTGGCCTCCTAATGTCCATTTGACACGTAAAGTTCCAAACTTGGTGCACATGCATGGGGTATTTGGCTCAAAAAGCCATCAAAGGTGATCTTCAAGATGCATGGGGCTCTCATGGCCATAAAGTTGGCACCTTTATGCCTTGAGACCCCTCCTAAGGCCCAGATCTGAAGTCAAACTCCATTCATCCCTTAATAATCCGAAAATGGCTTAGTAAACTCCCAAAATCCCAACCCCAAAGATGAATAAGCACATAGAAGACCAAGACAAGAGTTTTTTACCTTGAATGAGCTGGAAATGGAACAAAATCCCTGGATCTCCAAGCCCCCACTCGAACTCTCAAGCTTCTTTCTCCTTCTCAAGCTTCACAATCCACCAAATGCACCAAAATGGCCTTAGAACACACAAAAACGGCTAGGGTTTCGATATACAGCTTGTTGGGAATGATAACGACGATGGAGGTTGAGATAAGATGTTTAAATAGGGTACAAACCCTCAAATTTAGGGTTTCATCCAGACAGCTGCTACTCGCCGAGTCGGTATACCGACTCGCCGGGTAGGTTACTTAACTCCCGCGTCCACGCCCGATCCTACTCGACGAGTTGGTCCTTCAACTCGTCGAGTCCCTTTGCTAAAATGATAAATCTTCATTTAAGAATGCTTATCAGGAACCGGGTGTTACACACAAATTGGAATCTTTTTAATTTTATCCATTTAATCCAATAACATTTTTTTGTTTCATGTGTTGTTAGGTTTTCCAATTTTTTGAACAGTGGAATGATGCAATGGAATCTAGGATTCTGAGTTCTGAAGATATTGGCTACTTGAAGAAGAGCATACACAAAAATAAAACGACAATACTTCCAACTGTACAAGATAAATGGGTTTCTTTACATGAATCCTTTGGTATTTTATGTTGGTGTGATGATGAACATCTGAAAAAAGAATTCAAGAACTTGAACAATGTCGATTTTCTATCTTTTGGGGATCTTAATCCTAAAGAAAAACAAATCCTTCAGGATTAGATTTCTGTCTTACTGCGGAATCTCGGAATCCCTTCGCTTTCTGAGGTACATCTTACTCTCTTTCTCTCTCATACACACACTGGAATCTCTTTCTCTCTCTCTCTCTCTCTTTCTCTCACACACACTCGGGTTTTACAGGTTGTGACACGTGAAGCAATATACTATGGCCCAACAGACAATAGTTTCAAAGATTCATTAATAATGTGGGCCCTTCCATACGCACAACATTACATTTACACCAATCATCCAACTTAGATCATGTTGTCTTAATTAGCATCTTATTTTTTTTAATGCTATTCTTGTTTCAGTAATAAAGAAACCCTCAGTGAAGAAGTTTCTCAACATACCCATAATCATACCTCCACCACCATCTCCCGCTAACATTTTATTTTGATGTTATTTTAGGTACAAGGGCAGCTATATCGTATCCGAATGAGGTTTTTTTTCCTTTTTTGAACCAATATGTAAGTTCATAATTTCCTTAACACTTCTAAGAACGATTCCAACATTTTGGATTGTATTTTTCTTTTCTTGGCTTCTTTCAAAGAAAAGAACTTCCAGATATATATTGTGATAATAGTAGATATGATGAACAAGCATCTAGATATTTGATTTATCAACTTGATGTTTGAAGTCTTGAAATAACTTTGTTGAATGCAATTGAAGTCGTTCATGTAAAATATGTTGGTCTAAAACTAGTAATCATCCCTTTGCCATAATGTTAAGCTTTCTGTAAGAGTTGACAGAAGCTAATAATGTTAAGCTTATAAATGGTGGTGGTGGTTTTATGTTTTTCTAATTTTTGTTAACAATAGTGATATCCAGTTGGCTTTGGCAGCCAATTTCAACGTGCGAGCATTCAGGAGATGAGTAAAACATTACGTGTTCTAAATGCTGTTAGAAGCCCAAAAAAAGGGATTCCACTAAGCATACATCAATACAAGGTCTTTTTTAACACCTAAACATATTCAATTTCATAATTATTCTTCATTACATTAATGCTTTTAATCTGTTCTTTAGTTGCTTACACCATCAGTTCTGATTGATCGATTGGTTAATGCCCACCAACATCTCCTGGCACTCAGGATATCATATTATCTTGGAATGAACCAAGTAAGTTTTATGTATTGTTCTTCACTAATCATTATGATATATAATATAGGATATGACTTGTTTAGTTTTGATTGGTGGATTGATTATTTTTTAGGCTTATTCTGCAGGAAGTGGTTATCATGCACTAGGCTTGTTCAAGGCTCAAAGTATCATCAGCAGTTCCTGATGCTACTCTCCTTGAAATTTTACTTGATAAGGTTTGTTCAAAGTTTTATAGGATTAAAGTACACTAAAAATGTCAATGGCTAACTTTTTGGGATTTTTCAGTTAAAATTTTGCAGAAGCATTTCTTATGTTGCAGTTGTTGCTCATACAGACCAGACTAGCAGGAGGAAATTAGCTGCTATGCTTGTTGAACATGAACCTCTCTCATCAAAGCAGGTTTAGGGTTTATTACTTATATATGAAGTTGAAAAATTCAATATATGCAAAATTGAATGAATGATATAGTATATAATATGATTGAATATCACTTTTCCAGGTTTCTCTGTTACTAGGCATTGGAGAAGAAGATACAACCCTGACTAAGGCAACTGAAAGTGGCGATACTGATCTTGTTTATCTTGTTCTCTTTCATATATGGAAGAAGGTATTTATTGTTTTCTTATTTGATTAATTATAAAATAATACTAAAATTAAGTTCTCAAATTATTGGCTTGTATAGAGACCAGCATTGGAATTATTTGCAATGATACAAGCTAGACCTATTGCACGCGATCTATTCATACGTTATGCAAGGTAAGGGCTATATAAGTTTTTCTATTTAATTTAATATGATAATATGAAGATTTCTTTTTATGAATGTGTCTATTATTTCAGGTGCTATAAGCATGAGTTTCTCAAGGATTTCTTTCTTTCTACTGGTCAACTTCGTGTAAGTCTGTTTTGATAAGGTAAGTGTCTTATTTGGTGCTTCACTTGCATATATTTATCTTATTACCTCATTTTGTTATTTGTTTTGTTACTATTAGTTAACACTTTCATTCTTTAAACATTTTATATATTGTATATAGTAAGTTAGCAACTGATTGCACGACAAATAGATAATTTTTCATCTCTTGGTTGATGTGGATGCCAACTTAATATGATGTTTTCTTTACACAATTTGTGTTTCGGATAAAGGGGAAAGCATCAGAACTCAGGCATTTATGGCGGTGGAGGTTTCTAACCCATACTCATCCTTATAAGTGAAGTCTTGTTTCTTTTTTATTTTACTTAATAGACTAAATGTAGACTAGTCTTAATCTACTAAACTATATATGAGTGTTTATTACAGCATCCTACTTTCATTTCATCTTATTACATATAAGAAGGTTAAATGTAAGAAATAACATAGTATACTTTGATTTCTCAATATGTGAATCTAATGGTTGCATGATTCAAATTTACAGGTCTTGTTGATGTGCGTAGTGTCAAACAATGTAGCTCGGATTTTGTGAAGGTGGTGACCAAGTTCTTGAGGTTCAACTATTATTTGTTGATGATTTTCATCTCCTTCACACTTGATATTACATTTATTACTATTGAAACGATTATTTGTATGACATTTAATTTTGTGCAATGGATTGTATTTTTATATATGATATTTTATTTTGTATTATGAGACATTAAATGTTAATTTAATTTGAAAATTAGTAAATATATAAAAATATATATTTTTTGAAACATTTAAGATTATGACACGCAAAAATGTGTGTCATCTTCCTTTATGACAGGGGATTTAATGATACGCATTGCGTGTCGTAAATGTGCGTCGTAAGGTTACGACACTCAAATGTGTGTCGTCTTCCTTTATGCCATGGCCTTCCTTGATACGCATTGCGTGTCGTAAATGAGCGTCGTAAATGTGTGTCATAACTGCACGTCGTAAATGCACGTCGTCTATAGATGACGTGTAAAAGCGTGTCGTTTCTCGTTATGAGAGGGCCTTCCTTGACACGCACTTGGGCGTCGTTTGAGCGTTTTACGACACGCATTACGCTTCGTAAAAGGTTGTTTTTCTAGTAGTGGAATGCAGGAGAAGACTTGGAACACATACCCAAGATATATCTGGATTTTGATCCAGCATATCCACCAATGGATAGATGGACTCCCAGTCATCCTCAAGAACAAATTCTTAGTGATCCACATGTTGGAGTATTGACTAGAGATCAGATTCGTGCAAAAAATGAGGTACTCAATACACCAGGAATTTTGTATGTTCAATGTCTTTATATCGAAAATTGAACCAAAGGCAGTAAAGTTTGCTATGGAAGATCCTGATTGGATTGTTTCTATGCAATCTGAATTGGATGAGTTCGAACGCAACAAGGTTTGGAGACTTGTTCCGAAACGACAATATACTTCGATCATTGGTCTTAAATGGATTTACAAAAATAAAACTGATAAAGAAGGTAACATAGTGAGAAATAAAGCTAGGCTATTAGTTAAAGGATATGCGCAACAAGAAGGTATCGATTATGAAGAAACCTTTGCTCTTGTCGCAAGACTCGAGGCTGTTCGAATCTTTTTAGCCTATGTAGAACATAAAGATTTCGATGTATATCAAATGGATTTTAAATGTGCTTTTCTAAATGGAGTGCTTGAAGAAACGGTGTACGTTGAGCAACCCCCAGGTTTTTTATGTACTCAATTTCCTGATCAATTTTATGTTTTAGACAAAGCTGTTTATGGTCTCAAACAAGCACCACGTGCCTGGTATGCTACTCTTACAAATTTTTTTAAAATCATTGAAATTTAAACAAGGATATTTTGATCCCACTCTCTTTCGAAAGAAAGTTGGGAGTCATCTTATGCTTGTTCAAATTTATATTGATGATATTATTTTTGGTTCTACTGATCCAAATTTGCCAAAAGAGTTTGAAAACATGATGAAGAGTCAATTCAAGATGAGCATGATGGGGAAGATCAATAATTTCTTGGGATTAAATATTCATCAAAGTAGAGAAGGCATTTTCATCAATCAGGAGAAGTATACTCGCAATCTGCTTGAAAATTTTGGGATGAAGAATAGCTCAAAGTTGAGAGTACCTATATCGGTTTTGCACAAGACTTGGTGCTTTGATGGAAAATCCAGCTGTTGATCTCACATTGTATCGAAGCATGATAGGTTCATTACTATATCCTACAGCTAGTCGACCTGACATTATGTTTGTTGTATGCAATTGTGCTACGTACCAATTGAATCCCAGGGAGCCTCATCTTACAACAGTAAAGAATATATTTTGCTATCTCATGGACACAATTTCGCTAGGATTGTGGTACCCTTCCAAAACAAGATTTTTTATTCAGGCGTTTTGTTATGCTGACTTGAATGGTTGTCAACTTGATCGCAAAAGCACAGGTGGAAGATGTCAATTGTTGGATGGGAAGCTTGTGAGCTGGGAATCAAAGAAATAAAGGTGTGTTTCGATTTCCACAGTAGAAGCTGAATATGTTGCTGCTGCAGCTTACACTTCTAAAATCATATGGATTTGAAGTCAACTGAGAGATTATGTAATAAACAAGAAAAAGATACCTTTATATTGCGATTCTCAAAGTGCCATTTGAATCTGCCATAATCTTGTGCAACATTCGAAGACCAAACACATTGCACTTCGTTACCATTTTTTAAAAGATCATGTCGAAGATGGAAACATTGAAGTTCACTTTGTAAAGACTAGATCATCTTGCTAATATCTTTACTAAACCATTGGACGAGAAGAGTTTTCTACGAATTTTGTCGGGACTAGGCATGCTTGTTGCGAATACAGTTCCTGTGTCAAGTTCGTGAAAAATCTTATGTATATCGCACAATTTGTTGCTTCATTCAGAGGTTACTATTCACTATTCAGCATTCGACATGTGTCACTTTCACAACTTCTCTGCTTTGATTTAGCAACAAATGTTCGCTACTTTATCAGGTTTAGTGAGGTACTTTAATTTCGATTGTTTTGTTTTATTTTCATTACAAAAATTTAAAAACAACAAAAATATTTTTCTTTTTTTCGTTATTTCATTTAAAAAATCAAAAATATCAAAAATATTTTCTTTATTTTTGTTATTTTCTTTAAAAAAAGCCAAAAATATTTTCTTTTGTTGTATTTTCTTAATTTGTTTTGTGTAGCGAACTTGTGAAGGTCTCTAGTGGTTTATGTATTGAAGCTTTAGGGAAGGTATACTTTTGAAATCTATGTCCTAGTTAGGTGTCCCTAGAAGCATGCTGCAACATGTGGACCTAAGCCTCAAAGACTCAATGGGTTTTCAAAGCCTTAATGGATCTCTCATCACGAGGATTCTTCCCAATTAAGCTATATTCCCATTAGTCACTGTGCTATCTTACTCTACTCATATGAGTTTAGAGTTTTCTGCTTGGTCCACTTACAACAAAGGTACTTTTGAATCTTAAACCAATCTTTTTCATCCTAAAGTTCTTTCATAATCACACACAAAGACACATACCCAAGATATATCTGGTCAAAACCAACCAGGTTATAGGTATGTAAACACTATGTGTTTATGATCTGGAATCATGAGATCGTGATGAAAGTGAAACCCAACATTTCGAAACCTTTAAAGGAATTGATGGGGAACTCTTGTTCTAGATATTAACGACACATTTGTTTCTGTACCTTCGATATTCAAAATCATATTTTATTCTTATGAGTGGTCTTGATAAAATGTTCTAAACCCAAGACGTTTTACACCCACCAAGATCCAACAATCTACTCTTTTATGGAATATGGTTTCAGCTTGAATATCTATCTGACCTTCGTTATTTCAGATATTTTTTCAAAGCATAATTGTCATTGACTACACTGGTCAAACAATTAATTTTGTTTCCAATTGTCTCACACTTATGTTAAGTTGTGATTTGTAACAAAATTTATGCCTACCTTTCGAAACTTATTAAAAGAAGCCCTTCGATACTCCTCTATGAGTGTTCGATTGTATTTCACGGGAAACCATACAAGTAGTTCGAAATCTCTATTGATGTTGAATGAAGTGATATTTGCCCAGGATCTTACTGCTTTATGTGATTTAGAATTGACATCACAGATCCAAATTTTATTATATTTTCTTCTTATCTTAATCTTTGACACACATGCACTCATGAAATCCTTGAGGTTCTGAGTACTACCACCTCAGGCTGATGATTTCGCAAGTCTGGCAAATGACTTCGCTTTTCAACCCAAAAGTAAAAGAGCCCAACCTCCGTGTCGAAGGTTACTGACGGTTCTAATTCTCTTGGGGTACGTAAACAGGCTGTTGGATGTGACTTTTGGTTACTGTCCTCTTTTCAAGGAAAAAGTGCTAATCACTTTTTCAGACGTGGCTATTTTTCCGGCTATTGGTGCGTTTTTCAAGGAGCCACGTAGGATGCATTTAATGCCAAAAACCGCTTCAAATTAAAATTCCGTTTACGTATAAAAGGGGTTTTGGGGTTTCATTCAAACTTTACGCATTCATAAATCCCCAAATCAAAAGAATTCTTTGTCTTCTTCATCAATTTACAAAACCTAACAATGGTGGCACCAAATGTTAGTGTTGATCCATCACAAACCACAGAAGATATCACATCACAACGACTCATGAAGATTCAAAGCACTAATTTTCAAGTTCAATTGGATGTTTCTCTGTATCATGATGGGTTCAAAATGCTCATTGTTGCTTTAACCAATTATGTTCTATCTACGGTGATGTTTTCTTCTTTTGATGTGTCGTTATCTTGGTTATCTCTTGCTAGGTCTACGGCGGTTTACAACAAGGCAGTGAACATTATCACTTTCCAGTTGACAAATGACAAGAAGTTTACGATTACAAAGAAACGGTTTTCTCATATCGGCTTCCTACATCTGGGTCGTATTATCAGGTAACCATTGAACAAGTTCTTCATATGTTAAATGAGATGGGATATCAACCTGTTCTTACCAAAATCAGTGAGTTCAAGAAGTCCAGTCTACCCTGTTTATGGAATTTTCTTTTTACAATTTACCTTCGATGCTTGACGGGTCGAAGTGTGGGGTTAGATAAAGCGAAGTTGGAGATATATGCTTTAGTTTCAGGAATATACTATGATATTCCTGTTCATTACACAACTCACCTATGGGAGGAGTTTGTAAAAAGCATCAGTAATACGAATGTTGTCAATGGAATTTCGTATGCTCGCTACTGGAGTTTGATTCTTCAGTATGCTTATAATAAGGAAGGTATTCAAGTTCCTGTTAATGAACAGACAACAAAATTTTCGTTATATCAGTTTCCGAAGATTGTTGAAGATGATGAGGAGGTGTTTCCCACAGTTGCTAGAATTCTGGATGTCGTGCTTCGCAAGGTTGATCCTTCTCACCCTATGTTGGTGAGTTATTTGACAACAATAAATCATGATATTGAAACCGATGTTTTATTACCTAAAAGCACTGGTCCATCGAAGAAGAAGAAGGGATTTAAGAAAGAACCA